CTAGGGAGAGCAATGTAAGCTTGAAAACCTTTGAATAATCAGAAATAGAAAAAAGTGCATCATTAATGTATTTAAAATAAAAGATAGCTTCAAATCCTTTTGGGCTGTTTGAATCACCACATAGCAAAGAAAGCAAGAGTATAAAAGACAGATGACGTAATTATACCTGAGAGAATATAATATATGGCTACCAGTAAAAGACTTTAAGTGTGTTTCCTAATTTCACAGAAACAAAGGAAGCAACTTAATCAATGAAACAAGGGAAATTTTGAAATTGACAATTACTAAAAACCTAATTAAAATTCTTAGAACTGAAAAACTATAAGGTAGTCTTCTATCCCTATTTGTGATTTTTCTTTTCTGCATTTCAGTTACTCAACTGTGGCCCAGAAATATTACATGCAAAATTCTAGAAATAAGTATTTCATAAGTTTTAAGTTGCACTGCATTCTATCATGATGAAATATTTTGCATTGCTCCATCCAAAACATGAATGGGCCTTTGGAGGTTGTGCCCAGTCCCTGATTCCTCCCTTGGTGGTCTACCAAGTCCAGCCTATCCACTCTGTGTACCTGCCTATTAGTTATTTAGTGGTTACCTGTCAAAATATCACAATGCTTTTGTTGAGGTAACCCCTGGTTTACTTAATGACCCCTAAATGTAAGAATGTGAAAGAAGTGAAAAAGAGGATGGATAGGGTCATTAATCAATTTTTTTGCTACTACTGGAAATTGAACCTAAAACCTCATGAATGCTGGTCAAGTGCTCCAACCACTGAGTACATCCCCCATCAGCGAGAACTTTTTTTTTAATATTTTATTTTATATGTATAAGTGTATTGCCTGCATGTGTGTAAGTGCACCCATGTTGTGCAGTGCCCACAGAGGTCAGAAGAAGGCCTCAGATCCCCTGGAATTGGAGCTACAGATGGTTGTTAACCACTATGTGGGTTCTGGGAATCGAACCCAGGCCCTCTGCAAGAGCAGTCAGTGCTTTTAACCGCTGATCCATCTCTCCAGCCCCAAGAGAACTTAAACTTTAAAAAGCAAACCTAGAAAATAATAAAAAAAATGAAAGAAAATGAGTCAAGTAATAGTGTTTGAAATTTCCCACAGTTAAAGAGAAAACTCCGAACTGATATTGTGATACATTATTGTAAAATTTTAGAATAGTGAAAATGGATGAAAAAAATGCTCAGAGCTTTTGTATTCTGGCATCACTGTGGCAGAGTGCCTGACAGAAGTAACTTAAGGAAGGAAAGCATTGTTTTAGCTCAGAGTTTCAGACAATTTCAGTCCATCGTGGTAGGAAGGTGTGGCTTAACAGCTCAGTCCATGGAGAAGTGTGTGACAGAGCCTCATTATATCATAGTAGAACAGGAGCAAGACAGGAACCAGTGACTGAGTAGAACCTTCAAAGGCCCATCACCTGTGATCTGCTTCCACCAGCTAGGGCCCATCTTCCCAAAGTTTCTAGAACCTCCAAGATAGCACCACGAGTTTGGGACCAAGAATTTAAACTGTGAAGTCAGTCCATGGGAAACATTACCAATTCAAAGCATAACAGCCACTAATGAAAAAACAAAAATGGATCATGCGCAAAGGAACAGTTGCCTGTAATAAGATAACGAAGGAATGTCTTCTAGTGATACAAAAAGTAAATGCCAACCTAGAATTTTATGCACCAAAATTCAAGACTGAGGGAACAAAAATCAAAGCACCAAAAAGGGAGTGCTCAGAGATTACCAGCCATGAGTTATACTGAAGTAACCCCTAAATGATGTAATCCAAGAAAAATGAACTTTAGAAGAAATGCCAAAGTAGTGAACAAAGGAATCACTAAAAAGATGGTGATAATAAATCTGTATAATTATTGACTGACAGTAAATTTATTTCAATCAATAAATTGGTGGAAAAGTAGAAGTAATTCAGAAATAATATGCAGAGGATAGAGACTGGGGCGTAGGTTGTATGTGTATGGGAGCAAAACAGCACACAAAAGAAAGTTGAAGAGGGTCTCTACTAGCAAAATGGAAACACATGCAGTTCCAAACAAGAGGAAAGTGAACAAAAAGAAACTATGCCAACACCCAAAGGCAGAGCTGAAGAGACCAAAGACACTGAGATACACCATTGAAGTAGGAAACCTAAGTCCAGAGAAGTCAACAATCAAGTTGTGCCCTGTTTCCAAAAGTTACACTTAAAAACACACCAGTAAGTTACAAGTAAAAGGCTATACCTGGCAGATCTCTTGCTTCTCATCTCAACTACATTGGATTCCAGTCACCCTCCACTTCCTACTTCCTGGCCTCTACCCCCTCCCAGCTAATTGTGATCCTTCTAAAATAGGAACCATGTTAAACAACTAGCCTTCCTTTAAAACCTATTTATCATACCTTGTATATATTCAGAGTCCTAAGAAGGCTTTGTGATCTGGCTTTCCCAGGCTACCCCTTGACTATGGCATTCTGACCACCTCATTTCTACCCTGGTCTCTGCTCTCCCTACGCCAGCTATTCTACAGCTTCACAGTGTACTGGGTACTTTCCCTCTGGGGCTCATACTCATCTTACTCAGATCTCTGCTTACATTTCATCTTTTAAGAGAAACTTTTCCTGACCACCCATCTAGAGGGTGTTACCTTCATATTGCCTCCCTCCTTATAACACTTAGTGCTCTCTGTCCTGAGATATGTCTCATCAGTAGCTTGATCATACTTAACACCCTGGAATGGGGCCTGGTGCCTGGAAGCTGTTCAGATATGTTGACTAGATACTTGATGCATTATGTGGTAATTTTACTCCATCTTAAATAAGCAGCAAGTAACTGGCCCTGATTTTTTTATGCTGGTAGAATTGAACGAAGTAAATGTTAATAACAGCATCAAGGACAAAAAGCTGGAGGCACTGATAATCAGAGGAAGTAGATTTCAAAGCCAAGTGGGTTTAAAGGAACAGAGAAATGCTTCATGTGAGTAACACTTCAACAGGAAGTTTTAGGAGTCAGAAATTTGAATTTGTTTGCAGTATAGCTTTTGTATGTTGAGAACTCCGAACTGTAGAAGAAAAAATCATGGTCACATGTAGTAGACTTCCAAGAAGGCGGCAAATGATGAAACTAAAGCTTTTGAATTGCTCAGCTTACAGTCAGCACATTCTTTATTTTTTCTTTTCTTTTTTTTTTTTTTGCAGCAAAGCATAGGGGTCTTCCTGTAGCCCTAACTGGTCTGGAACTCGCTATGTAGACCAGGCTGGCCTCAAATCCACAAAGATCCGCTTGCTTGCCTCTGCCTCCCGAGTGCTGGGACTAAAGGCGTGCGCCACCACGCCTGGCTTTTTTTTTAATTTTTAAAAAATTTTATTTATTATTTTTATTTTATGTATATGCATGTATTCCCTGCATGTTGGTAAGTGCACCCGTGTCGTGCAATGCCTGCAGAGGACAGAAGAGGCTGTTGGATTCCCTGGAACTGGAGTTACGGACAGTTGTTAGCTGCCATGTGGGTGCTGGGGTTTGAACCCAGGTCTTCTGCAAGAACAGTGTTCTTAACTGCTAAGCTATCTCTCCAGCCCCCAGTACACATTCTTTTAATACATACAAAACACGAACAAAAGTAGACCATGAGGATCAAAGTTATGCAGAATACATATGTAACAGCAAAGCTCTGAACAAATTAATGAAATTGACTAACCCTGAAAATGAGCAAATGATTATAAACAGGAAATTTTCTAAAGATATGCAAAGGGTCAGAAATACAAAATGATTCTAAATGTCACTGACAATTGGGGAACTTCAAATCTATAGTTTGAAACACTAACTGAACTGCAGAGTTCTGGGCTCAGTGAGACTCTACCTCCATACCTGAGGTAAAATGCCATTGAAAAGGACATTCAAGGTGAACTCTCCGACCTCCACACACCTGTACACCTGTGCCCACACGTGTATACATGCAAAAACTGTCTTCCAGGTAATAACTACTTTGGAAGTTTGGGTAACTGTGTAATAGTCGCTTTTCTCTCACTTTAAAGGTATTGTTATTTTTTAATTTGAAGGTACTTTAAAGGAATGATAGTTCTCAATAGAAAAAGTAATAGTGATGGAAAAGTTCTGTATAGGTGTATATACATGTTTATGTATAGTGTATATATTTATGTGTGTATTTTGTGTATATGAATGTACTGTACACCCCACCCCTGCAAAAGTCTTTTTGGAAGGAGCCTTTTTCTACAATTATCAAAAAAAGCACTGTACTTTGTTATAATACATGTTATGTTTAAAATGTTAATTTGTTACTAAACAGGATTAATTATCTGGACCTCTAACATCACAGTAATAATCAGTTTTACATAATTTATTCAGACAGTCTCTCAAGAACGAACTTGCTATAATAAGAGCAAAGAAAAATGTAGAAACTTCATACATGGTTTTCTGCTCCTTTCAGGGCTGGGGAGGACCACTGGTTTTCCTACTGCCTGTTAGTGCATCAAACTCAAACATGGCAGGACAGAATTTCAGGGTTCCTATAGTCTGGCCTCTCCAGCCTTGTCTCTGGAATCTTCAATAAAAGTTCTCTTTCATTCAAGGATGTGCCTGTTGAGCTTTAAAGACCTCCCCTGTGCCCTACAGTTATCTCTTTGTTTCCATCTGCATGGCTGGGTTCATGCCCTGCTCAAGTTACAACACTGGGGGAAGCCTTTACCAGTGAGGATTGCTGTGGCCTTTTCTTTCTCTTTTTCAACTCTTGTGAGTTGTTCCTCTTATTTTGGTGTTTTAATTATGTAGAGCTTATATGGAGACTTGTTTCATGTTTAATAATAATACTAGCTAGCATTGGTATGTCTTGTCATTTTTTTTTCTGCGCCTGCATAGCGCATAGCAAATCCTTATTAAGACTTTTGGTGACTGAATAGATGAAATGTGTTTATTATAGCAGAGACAATGGAATGTCTTGCCCAGCTTAGATTTATTTCCTTGTTTGTTTTTGTTCATTTGCTTTTACAGTTTAGAGTGTTTATACCTTGGAGGAAACTTCATTAAAGAAATCCCACCAGAATTAGCAAATCTGCCTTCATTGAATTACTTGGTGTTATGTGACAACAAAATCCAAAGTGTGCCTCCTCAGCTTTCACAGTGAGTAGTCTCAGTTTCTATGGACACAGACATCTGTGGTTAGGAGTTATTGTCTGACATTCTCTGGTATGTTTTATATATGGAAAAGAATTAGGAGCAGACCTATAATCTCAGCACTAGGGAAGCTGGGGCAGGAGGATCTTAAGTTCAAGGCCAATTTAGGCTATATAGTGAAACCCTAAACTCATAAAAAGAAATAGTTATTTTTTAAGTGATATAATTAGGGCTGTGCAGTTTACTGTGTTTAAAATTTTACTTTTTTTAAAAAGTATTTCATTTGGGGCTGGAGAGATGGCTCAGCGATTAAGAGCACTGACTGCTCTTGCAGAGGACCTGGGTTCAATTACCAGCACCCACATGGTGGCTACAAACCATCCTTAACTCCGTTCTAGGAGAATCCGAAGCCCTCTTCTGACCTCCATGGCATTGCATGACACAGGTGTACTCACATATTTTATTTATTTTTATATTATATGTATACGTGTATTGCCTGTATGTAGGTAAGTGCACCCGTGTCATGTAATGCCCGCAGAGGACAGAAAGGCTGTTGGATCCCCTGGAACTGGAGTTAACCGACAATTGTTAGCTGTCATGTGGGTGCTGGGATTCGAACCTGGGTCTTCTGCAAGAACAACCACTGTTCTTAATCACTGAGCCATCTCTCCAACCCCTTCAATTTTACTTTTAAGTGCTCTGATTTATTCTTTGGAATACTTTCTTAGCTTGGGGTGTGTGTGTGTGTGTGTGTGTATGAGAGAGGGAGAGAGAGAACGAGTGCATGAATGTGTGTGTGCATGCATGCACACATGTGGAGGCCAAAGAATAACCTTCCGTGTCATCCTCAGAAATACCATCCATTTCCTTTCAAACAGGTTCTCCCATTGGCCTGGAGCTCACCAATTAGATCAGGCTGAACTGTCTGGCCAGTGAACCCAGAGATCCTCCTATCTCTTTTTCCAGTCCTGGGATTATAAGTGCCATTTCATGTTGGCACTGGGGATTGAACTCAAGTCCCTGTGCTTGCAAGGGATAGGCTATACTGACTGACCATCCCCCAACCTCCCAGCTTGCTTTTTTGGCATAGGTTTTGTGGACTTGGCGGTTTCATATTTGTTGGGATGCATTCCTGTTCTAATTGAGCTTTATAATGTAAAGGATCATCATTGCTATTACACCTGAAATGTTTAACTTTTTAGGTGTATAAATGATAAAATATGCCCCCAGAGTCTTTGAATCTAGCATTTATCTCAGCTAGGACATCAAAATACTTAAGTTTTCTAAGTACTTGTAAGATATGAGGGGGAGAGTCTTTAATGTTGTTTATAAAGCTGTGTTCTGATCTGATTTCAGGTGTTTTAATTTTCCTTCTATTGACCTTAATCTTCACTGTTTATTCCTCTGGGAAGATCAGACTCTATACATAGGTGCATACATACCCCCATATGTATGTATACACACATCGATGTAAACTTAACTTCTAAGTAATTAGTTTGCGCATAGCCATTGGTTTTTGTACCCCATTCGTTCCAGGTTGCATTCACTTCGTTCCCTCAGTCTCCACAATAACTTGCTGACATACTTGCCTCGTGAGATTCTCAACCTTATTCATTTGGAAGAGTTGAGTTTACGAGGAAATCCATTGGTTGTTCGTTTTGTGAGAGATTTAACCTATGACCCTCCGACTCTTCTGGAATTAGCTGCAAGGACCATTAAGATCCGAAGTATTTCTTACACTCCCTATGATCTTCCTGGGAATCTCCTTAGATACTTGAGTTCAGCCAGCAATTGCCCAAACCCAAAGTGCGGAGGTAAGTGAATCCAGTGTTGTTGTTTTTTTTTATTCATTTTAGCTATTTTCAAAATTTGATCTTTGGGGGCTGGAGAGATCACTCAGCAGTTAGGAGCACTGGCTGCTCTTGCTGAGGACCCAGGTTCGATTCCTAGCACTCAAATGGCAGCTAACAACTATCTCTAACTCCATTTCCAGGGGACTCTAATGCCCTCTTCTGACCTCCATGGGCATCACACATGACATGGGTGCACTTAACATATATGCAGGCAATACACTCATGCACTTAAAATAAAAATAAAAATATTTAAAATTTGGGCTGGGCGTGGTGGCGCACACCTTTAATCCCAGCACTCGGGAGGCAGAGGCAGGCGGATCTTTGTGAGTTCGAGGCCAGCCTGGTCTACATAGTGAGTTCCAGGACAGCTGGGGCTACAGGGAGACCCTGTCTCAAAAAGACTATATATATGTTTAAATTTTGATTTTTTTGTAAGCATTGTTTTAATTAGCTAAAGCTTCTTTCAGAAAAAGATAGTTACCAGAAAGTAAGACATTTCATTCTCTCAGCCTCCCTCCTTCCTATCTCTCCCTCACTCCATCCCACCCCTCTCTTCCTTCCTTCCCATCCCTTCGTCCTTTCTTCCTTCTTAAAATTTTTTTCATAATGGTTTTGCTCCACAGGCAAATACCCAGGAAGACTCAGTCTGTCTTAGAACTTTAAAAGATAATAAAAGTAAGATGGTAAAATGAAAGGAAGAAGAAAGGAAGTATAAACAGGGTTTCTCAAATGTTTATTTGAAGGATTCACCACTCGTTATATCAAATACTTTTAGAGTATGATTAAAGATGTATGAGAGTGGGCCAAGTACATGCCCATTTCTGGATGCATCCTAGAACTTTATATTCTTTTAAATCCATGGTTAAAAATTTTGAGCCTAGAGCATTTGGAAACAGTTAAACAAATGCTATAATGTAGGACAGAGAGAATTAAGTGTTCTAAAGAATTCAAAATGCTTTTGGAAACCAGAGGCAGTCAAGTCCATTTGATTAGACCTGGAAAAGATGAGGTACTTTTTAAGGGGTAAGTTAGATTTTCATAGGGTAAGACTGAAGGTGGGAAACCTTTCAGATGGAGGAGCAAAGTAGAGATAGTATAGTGTGGAGCAGGTACTGGGTGAGTGACAGTGAGGTTCAGTGGATACAGTTAGGGCAGTAAAGAAGCCAGGCTATAAAGGCCATGAAGTGTCAGGGTGGGGGTAGTAACTGATGACTGTAAACAGGTCATTTTATTTTGTCTTCCTTATAAAATACTACTTTTAAATAAATTCATGTTAATGAATGTAAAAAGGTTTTAGTGTTGAGGAGGAATGCCAATACTGAGGAAATGTTGCATAAAAATAATCAAAACTGGGTGAGATTTTCCCAGAAAGTTTCATCTTAAGAATTTTTTACAGTTCAAAAGAAAAATAAGGCCAGGTGTAGTGGCACACACCTTTATCGGGAGGCAGAGGCAGGCAGATTTCTGTGCATGCAAGGCCAGCCTGGTCTATATAGTGAGTTCCAGACCAGCTGGGGCTACAAGGAGACCTTCTCTCATAAAGACCAAAAAAAAAGGGGGGGGGACAACAAAGATTAAATTTCTCAAAGATCGTTAGATTGTTAGAAGATTTTTTTAAAAAGACACTGGGAGAAAAAAAGTACTAGGATCAAAAAATAGCAAAGCATTCTCTGGGCTGGTTCTGGCCATCTACCCTAAAAGCAGAGGTAGTCATACCCCATCAGATAGAATGCCAAGCCTTTTTCCTTAGGACTCCTGACCTCAAGTGGTTTTAGCAGGGGAAACAGTAAAGAAGAGAAGACACTCACTGAGGCCAGGGTGTGAAGAGTCGTGAAAGAGCATTCACAGTAGGCCCTGGGCTTCCTAAGCTTAAATCTAGTCACTTAGAACTTGTCCTTTTCTGAAACGGGCCTCTATAGAGAGAATCTTCTTCTCTCCTAAATTGTTTCTTTCTTTCTTTTTTTAAAATTATTGTTATTTTATGGGTATGAGTATATTGCCTGCATGTGAGTGCACCCATGTTGTGCAGTGCCACGGAGATCAGAAAAAGGCTTAAGATTCCCTGAACTGGAGTTAAAGATGGTTCATAGCTGCCATGTGGGTGCTGGGAATCGAACCCAAGTCCTCTACAAGAGCAGTCAGTGCTCTTAACCACTGAGCCATTTCTCTAGCCCCTCCTAAATGGTTTCTTACTGACTTCTTTAATATTCTGAAGAGCTACTTATGAAGAGCTACTTATCTTAGAAGAACTTTAAAAATTATCAGTTGAAAATTTCAGATATCATAGAAAATTAATCTTTTGATATGTCTCCCTATCACCACCACCCCAGGTTCCTTACTGAACTGAAAGGAAAAGTAGTTTTTTTAAAAAATACTTAATTATTGTTATTTTATGTGTATGAGTGTTATGCCTGCACGTAGGTAAGTGCACCTGTGTCATGCAATGCCCGCAGAGGACAGAAGAGGCTGCTGGATCCCCTGGAACTGGAGTTATGGACAGTTGTTAGTTGCCATGTGGGTGCTGGGATTCAAACCCAGGACTTTTGCAAGAACAGTCAGTGTTCTTAACCACTGAGCCATCTCTCCAGCCCCTGGGAAAAGTAATTTTATATTTTATGAGATAATTTGTCTTGCTATAGCTTGAGCTTGCAGGTGACAAGATAATATTGTATTATTTTAGCCCAGGAAGCTAACACAATTGTAAGAACTTATTTTAAGCCTATTGAATGTATTTACTTTCTAAAACGTTCAGAGTAATACACTCTAAAAAGTTAATGGGTCTAGGCATGATGGTGCATGCCTTTAAGTCCAGCTCTTGGAAGGCAGAGAGTTCCAGATCAGCCAGGACCATATAGTGAGACTCTAAAAACAAAATTAATGGGGAGATGGAACAAAAGTTATTATGTTCTTTCATTAGACCACATCATTTTATTTTGATACCTCATGTGATACACAGTAGTTGGTGTTGAGATTCTTTTTTAAAGAAATAGTTGGACACAAATTTTCCATAGTTTGGCTACACTGCAGCCATAGGGACAGATTTTGTAATGTACGATGTCTTTTTTTTTTTTAATGTGTATGAGTATATTGCCTGCATGTATGTAATTGCACCTGTGTCATGCAGTGCCTGTGGAGCATTGGATGCCCTGGAACCGGAGTTATGGATGATTGTTAGCTGCCATGTGGGTACTGGGAATCAAACCTGGGTCTTCTGCAAGAGCAACCAGTGTTTAACTACTGAGCCATCTCTCCAGCCCCCTTTTTGGTCTTTTTAAGACAGCGCCTCCCTGAAGTCCAGCTGGTCTGGAACTCGCTATATAGACCAGGCTGGCCTCTATCTCACAGAGATCCGCCTACCTCTGCCTCCTGAGTGCTGGGATTAACTGGCATGTGCCACCATACTTGGGAAATGTGTGGTGCTGGAGATGCAGTGACCTTTGCTTTCCTCTGCTGCTCTGGCTGTAACTCTGCTTCACTGAAGGATGGTGGTTTAGGAGCACCAAATGAACCACTAAAGAGCCAAATGAATAGCATACTAGTTTTGATGTACTAGAGAGTATTTGTGTGTGAATGAGATCACCAGCTTTGCAGCCCAGAGATTAGAGCCTGCAGAAATGTAAGGTGGCATTTTGTTTATTTTGAGTTTTGCCCTCCTATAAGAATGAGGCATGATGACACACGTTTTGGGATCATATATAGAGAGGCATGAGTTCAAGGCTGGCCTGGACCACATGAAACCTTGGCCCAAAACAAAAGAATGGACAATAACTACCTTCTGTCTTCAAACTTGTGTATAACAATTACTTCTTTAATCATTATTAAAGGGTATGTTTGTTTTATCTTCTGACTATAGGACAGTGCCAGGAGGTGACTTGAAGGATGCAGTAAGGACACTTTACATGTCCTGTAGTTCTATAGTTTCAGGCCCCCAAGTTACCTAGAGAAAGCATGCTAAAAAAATAGTGGACCTTCTCACACAGCTCCCTTAGGACAAATCTTGCCTTTTCTTTTCTTAAAGCTGTGTGTTGTGGGCGTGTGTGTGTGTGTGTACGTGTGTGTATGTGCGTGTCACAGCATGCCTGTGGAGGTCAAAGTACAACTTGTAGAAGTCAGCTGTGTCCTTTCACCATGTAGATTCTGGGGCTGGAACTCAAATTGCTAGGCTTGGCAGAAGCACCATTACTGGCTGAGCGACATCCCACCTATCCTCCTTGTTTCTCTTAGCAGCCTAGTTGCCACCCCTGCGATAGTCCAGTATTGCTATATGCTGTGCTATGGTGGCAACAGCTATACTACTTCTGCTTAAGATTCCCCAAAGAGAAAACTTTATATTTCTCCAGAATTCTGAAAGGGGTCGGGATGGGGAGTTAAAAATGTGCCTACTTTTCCTGATTACTTATGCTCCTCCCCTCTAGGCGTCTACTTTGACTGCTGTGTGAGACAAATTAAGTTTGTGGACTTCTGTGGGAAGTATCGCCTCCCCTTGATGCACTACTTGTGTTCTCCAGAATGCTCTTCCCCCTGCAGCTCTGCCTCACACAGCTCCACATCCCAGAGCGAGTCTGACTCGGAAGACGAAGCCAGCGTTGCCGCACACCGAATGCAGAAAGTTCTTCTTGGTTGAGCAGGAGTGGGTGTTGGAAAAACTTAAAAACTGAGCAAAGATGGTTAAAAAAGAAAAGAGCTTGAAGTTGATTAGAAACCTTGGTATCATCTTGAGTGTCCGTTACAGAGTTGGAGGATATCAAAGATTTTGTGTTCCATCCACCCATTCAGCAAGAATGAGTCCAGTTCCATGTTTGGAGTCTTTGAATTAATTTACTCTGAATGGCAGTTCAGAATTTGGCTGATTGGTCACAATTTTCACTCAAGTTTTGTGTGAATCACTAGAAAAATGATACACTTGCAAGAGCTGTGCTACAATAGGCCATTAAGTGATGTAACTTGGGACAGTTGCAGTGAAGAAAGCAAATTATCAAAGCTCTGTTACCAGGGTTGTCCAGATTTAGGATGAACACTGTGCCATAAATAGAATGAGCTGTCTCCTTATGTTACCCCTACGTCTAGATTATAGACCTATTCATGTAAATTCACAGGCAATTACATAGGATGTTAGTCTGTCTGGCCAACTAACTGGTACAGTAAGGATTATGACTTTTAAATGGGATATTTAAACTTTTCAGTTCTTTGTTTTCTGTGATTGTTATTAACCTTATGCAATCTAGCAGTACTGTGTAATAGTGCCTTAATCCTAGCAAGGATGTAAAAGCTTAGTCAAGAAACAATTTCAGATCCACCTACAACCTGACACTATGCAAAACACTTAAAAATGTGCTTCAACAGAACTAGGTAAACAGCTAGAGATACCAGCCAAGCCCATGGCCATCTGAACTTTTGTTGTTCTGTTTAACTGTGCAATGATCCTTTGTAAGCACATCACTTTTACATGTAATTGGAGGCTACAATCTTGATCCATCTATTTACCATAAGGCAAAATAATGGTTTTTGACAGAAAAATGTAGAAGGACGTTCTTTAAGAAAACCTGCTTTATAAATCTTGCACTAAGTGAGGGAAAGTTGAGTAAATGGTACACATCTGTAATCCAGCACTTGGGAAGTAGAGGCAGAAAGATCAAGTGCTCAGAGTTGGCCTAGGCTACATACCACATAGTAAATTTGATACATGAGACCCTGTCTCAAAGGGGGGGTGGAAATTTTAACAGTCAAGTATGTCACCTTTGTGCTGTGTACTAAACTGTAACTTTCTCTAGAACTTTAAAGAAAACTACAACTAGATATAAACTTGACAGTGAAAGCAGAGTTGGAGTGAGGTCATTATGGGCCTCCACAATAGGATAGTTCCCAAAGCTGGCTTAACCATTGAGCATTCAAAAGTAAAGAATTGATAAAACAGAAAAAAAAATATTAAATATATTGTATCATTAAGTTGAAGGAGAAAATAGTTGCACAGATTATTGCCATTGGCAATTACCATTTTTTATTAACTATGCAATAAAAATTGAATAGTGTTAAAACTATAAATTGATATTAGAAAATATGCAGTACTTGCTACTAATTATTAGATAATCAACCTATAATAACACGAAGGCTAAGTGATAATGTTAAAAACATTGTTTCAGCCAGGCCTGGTGGCACAAGCCTTTAATCCCAGCATTCAGGAGTCAGGTAGGCAGGTCTCTGAATTTAAAAACCAACCTGGTCTACATAGTGAATTCCAGGTCATCCAAGGCTACATATAGTAAGACCTTGTCCAAAAAAAAAAAGGTAGTTTTCAGATTGCATTAGAAATTAGAATACTAGGTGGTCTTTTAAGAACATACTTTCTTAAAAGCCAGTTGTATATACTAATAATTTGTGTGTGTGTTGTTTCATATATATTTAGAAAATATAATATAGAATAATTCAAGATTTGTGTGTTTATTTGTGTACCATGTCATGAAACATGAGAGTTTCGTGACTGCAGTTGTGGAACGCTGCTATAGTGAATCCCCTTACCTTTACCTTGTGATAGTGTAGTGTAGTGAGATTATTTTTTCATTTTGATTTATAAATTTTCTTCCTGTGTTTATAGAAGTGATCTTTTTCTACTGCTTAATATAATTGATAAAGATAGTAAAGTCTTTGCTTACTTCTCAAGTAAGCAACTGTAAGCTGCAGACTGTAAGATTTTGAGAGGAAAAGATGACTTAGGCTATATTTAAGTGTCAAATCTCAAATGCTTTGTTAGTGAGTGACTAGTTAAGCTACATAAAATATTTTCACAGTAACTATTCAGAAATTGATAGGACCAAATTTTTCTGGTTTAAATGCTTCTACTTTCCTGTTTATCAGTTTGATCTAAGTAATAACTTGAGTAATCTTTTATATTAATCTTTGTAAATGGGTAGGTGTGTAAATAGACTTAACCTTACATACCTTTTCTCACTTCCTGGAAAGAAGGTATACTGTTTCTTATTTTATAGGTGTAAATAATTCCAACCAGAGAGTGCCATGTAGATATATACTATAGTGTTCCTTTAACAGAATGTTTATTGTGGTTCTTTATATGTATAGTTAAAATCTGTAATCAGTGTGGAAGATCAGTGTACAACTGTACTTTTTTTGGCTGGGATGGGGGGGTGGGGTCGACCCAAGGCCTTGTGCACGCTAAGCAAGCTATGGTCCAAGCATGTCATTAGTAACATTTAGTGAAATCTGCATCTTTAGCATTTTTTTAATCTTTGACTTTGTCTTTTACAAAAGTTGCCACTGATTTCTAAGATTTTTCTTATTTTTTGTACTTTTTTCATAACTGATAATTATAGAAATTAACTTGATGAGATACAAGGGACTTGATCATCTGGAAACAAGATGACCAGCTTCCAAAGTCAGCAGACTATTTTAAATGATAGTCTGTCTCACTAGTTGGCGAGACAAGTGTTTATTTCATTAATAAACTCTTGTTGGTCTTTTAAAGAGAGTTTCAGAGTTAGCAAAGTCTTATTTTCATTATAAAATAGTTTTGTTTTCAGATACAAGGCCTGACTGTGTAGCACAGGCCAGCCTTGAACTCACTGTGTAGCCCAGCCTGGCCCTCCCACTTGGGATGGTCCTGCCTCAGCTTCCTCCAAACTGCTGGTGTTAGAGGTGTACACCACCTTGCCCAGCTCAATATTTTACTTTGAACATGTGCCAAAGGTGCCTCTTTTCTAAAGAAATCTTGAGTTTTAAAAAATTGTTGCCAATATTAAAAATAAATTTACATTATAGACAGGTGTGGTGGCGCACGCCTTTAATCCTAGCACTCGGGAGGCTGAGACAGAGGCAGGAAGATCTCTGTGAGTTCAAGGCTAACCTAGTCTACATAGCAAGTTCCAGGCCAGCCAGGGCTGCAGGGAGACCCTGTCTCAAAAAGACCAAAAAATAAAAATAATAAATAAATAACTAAAAACGTACATTATAAACGGTAGTTCAATTTAGTGGTTGATGTAAGTAAAAGTAAAAGGCAACCCTCAATAGTGTAGCATAGTACTGCACACTAATTCTAATAGACACTAAACAGCAAGTTTAAACAAAGAAGCAAGAGGAAGCTAATTGCTGGAATCTTAAATTTAAGTAACATCTTTAAAAGCCACTAAAGAGAAAGAAGTCACAGATGCCCAGGGATATCCCTGAACCAAGAAAGCTCTTTAGTAGTGAAGTGTTGTAAAATTAAGTTACCAATGGCCTACTGCTACCCTCTAAAAGCCTTTATGACTAAGTTTATTCAGTACCTGCGACTGGCAGGCTTTCCACATCTCCATAAATGGAAAGCTAGCAAGTGATAGGATTTTTTTTTTTTTTTAACAAACTTGTTCTTCCCTAGAGTTAGAAAGTAGTAGTACCTCAGTAACTTGGAATTTGTGATACAACAGCCTTGGTTAATGTTTACCCTTTCGTTTTTTTATTTTTAAAAACTTCAAATAAAGTTTTATCTTTAAAAGTATTTTAGCAGTAGCTGTTTATATATAAAACTAATGGTTATTCTCCCTAAATTTTCATATGGTTTCATATAGATATAGCTTTATCAGTTATAATATGTATGTGAAATTATTTAGGTGCATTTAGTTTAAAAGTTTAAGTGATCCCCCTTTCATCTAAAAGTAGAGATCTTTTTTCATTCTTGGTTTAGTCAGAAATACTGAGTTGTTAAGCTGTTCTAGACATTTAACTACATAAAGGCTATTGTGCAGCTTTTAGGTAACATGACTTGTAATACATAAATTTGATTCCTTTGCATAGAAATGTGTGCTTAACCTTCACTATATATTAAACATTTAACCTTGTAGAACATGTATGATGCCAGTAGCATGTAGTCTTGTATTTTCATCATAGTGTAATCTTTTTAATGTTAGTTAACAGTGTCCTTTGTGGTCAGAAAGTAAGTGCCTTAAGTTCCCCCATTTGACCCAAAATTTAGAAAATTGTGTCATCTGATAAACTGTTTGTGACAGCCTTATCTTCTGTATTTGACTTGGAGAAAGACTGGTCCTGAGAGATTCCTTTGCCTAAAATGGGGCCCACTGAATGTGTAGGGCTTCTGGGGAAGGACTCTGAATCATGCCTGCTGTTACAGAAGGTCCAAGCCATAAGCTTCAAGGCCCCCCAGTGAAAAGATGTATTTTCTTACAGAATATTTTATTTTTTAAATGTATATGGTACCACAAAGGATAACAGCAGTTCCTAACCAACTTTATTTTTATAGCGTCATGTGAAAATATTGTCACTCTGAAGCCTAGCGTGTTTCATCACTGGTTTTCTTGTAAGTTGACAGGAGGGTGTGTGCATATTATTACATGTAGAGCTTCCTTTCACATTCTTCTTGATCCATATTTACTAAGAATTAAATTAAGAAACATTCCACTAATGAACATGAACACTCAGAGGGTAGTCTACATAAGGATGCTACCAGGCCTTTACTTAGCATTAGTCAGCCTCAGTAATTCATATGAAAATATTCAGTGTAGTGTGTATTAAATCCACAAGTTTAATGAAGGTTGTTCGTACACACAGACCACCTTTCTTCACTAAAATATGCTTTGTTCTTTTGACTGTGAATAAACTGGATAAACTGTCTTATTTACAACTCCAGCTAGGGAAGAGACTAGGATAAAGTTGACATTGCTGTTACTGGTACTGAGAAACATAACTAAGTTGGTTAATTCTCCCTACAACTGATGTTTAAGAGAATCTCTATTTTCAGTTTTAAATGTTCAGCACTGATCTATTACTGAGAAACACAATTACCCCAGTAGTCACTTTAAAACAATCATATGGAGACTTACATTGAGGTTTGTTGCATTCTGAGCCCACTTTGTATTTGTGAGGAACAAAAATACAATGGGAAAATCTTTTTAAATAAGCAGTCTTTTAACTTTTCATAAAGTTGGGGACTTCAAATACCAACAAAAGATACTGAAAATTTGTTCTTCTACTTTGGTCAGATTATTATGTATGCTCTAATTTCTTTACTTGAAGTCTTGTGAATTAGGAATATCTGTAGAGATATATACATAATTAAAAATGGCCTGGTGTGGCTGCACGCCTTTGATCTCTGCACTTGTGAGGCAGAGGCAGTAGATCTCTGTGAGATCAAGACCAGCCTGGTCTACATAGTGAGTTCCAGGCCAGCTGAGGCTACCAGGAGACCCTGTCTCAAAAAACCAACCCCCCCCCAAAAAAAAACCAGAAATGTAAAATGTAACTCAGAAATGTAACTCACAAATATAATTCAACAATGAAGTTTTGTTTTCTGGAAATGATAATCTTACTGTATGAAGTTTGTATGTTCTAATGGCAAATGTTCTAAAAATAGTATTTAAACTATTTCAGTTCTGTGCCTCCTCCCCTCTTCCCCCAGGACGTGAAAAATAGATTCTTATATTAACGTTATATAATCTCATATGACCATTGTGAATTTTGCCTTAAACACTGTGCATTGTTTTATTAAATTTTTTTATTGGAATCTGATTCTGTATTTTGGAAAAGTAACACATTTTTATTGTAAACAAGCATTTACTTTTAAAAAATATAAGACCTGTATTTGTTATATCATTGCTTATCTGTTTATTGAATTCAATACACAACTACACAAATTAAGCATTTTATTAGCATTTATTGTATGTGCTAGATACAAGAGATAAAACTGAGTTAAGACATGCTCTTGTACTGGAGCTCCTTCCACAGTCTCATGGAAGACGTGAGCAAGGTCATCTTGCTAACCAAGCTCAGGCACATCTTGTATTTCGCCCGGTCTCATGGAATAATATAGTCCAGCACAGTGACACTTTTGCTCTTTAATAATCTTTATTCTAGAATACCCAGCATTCTACACTCCAGAATGTGGAAGAATGTTTTGGTTGGCTGTGAGCTGGGGTAAACAGGGTCGGTAAGAACACAGTCTTTACAAAAGGGCTTGTGTTTGAAATTTGCTGAGATGAAAAGCTTAGCACTTCTCTGGTGACTATAAAGGTCTCCAGACAAAAACAGGCCTAAAAATCTAAAGACAAGGAAAAACAGATGTAATTCTGTCTTTTTTGAGGGTAAAATTCTTCCACTCCTCCCCCAGTTTTCCCTATTACTGGAAATGAAGACACTGTATTCTTCAATTATTTGCCTGTCTTTGCAGATATTAAATAGCCAAAGCATTCAGTGGATGTGTGAGGCTTGTGCATGTTCCATCCATCACATCAGTCACTCTCAACTTCATGAGCAATTTATCACCTTTCTCTAGCATGTTAGAGCTAGAAGTCTAAAGTTTACTCGAGAGAAAAAAGCTTCAAAACTAGAGACCTTCTTCTGTTATTCTTTGACAGTTTCATGCATATAATACATACTGAAACTCCCTACCCTCTTTTTTTCTAAGAGGGTTTCACTGTATAGCCCTCGCTAACCTGAAACTCCCTATGTAGAATAGGCTAGCCTCAAACTCAGAGACTTGCCTGCCCCTGCCTTGCTGTGTGCTGAGGTTAAAGATACTATACAACTGCCATCTCTATTTATTCCCTCCCACACCCATTTTCCTTCTTCCCAACAAATTTCTTCACATTCTGGTTTTGTCACCCACTGAGTTACCAGAGCCATCTGTGACACTGGATTTAGAGCTATGCATTGGAGTCTGGTAAGCTCATCAGTGGGTACACAACTGAAAACAATTGACTGTCTCTCCAAGAGTCTTAGTAACCAGTAGTTCAACAGTAAGGGATAAGACCCCTTGAGCTCTTTCCTCATTTGTGACTGTTGACAGGGCCAGTATTGGGCAGGCCCAGTGTAAGTAACCACAGATGCTGAGTTTATGATGGCAGTGATTGTGTCGTACCTAAGGGTTGGCATCTCAGCCCCTTCTTACCTTCCCACTCTTGCAGTCTTCCCACCACCTCTTCTGCAATCTTTCCTGAGCCTTAGTGTGGTATGTCTTGTTAAGGCTGGGCCTTCAAACATCACATAGTTTCAGCATCTTGGGCATCCCTGTATTCACTGTAAGAAGGCTTTTCAAATTAAGGCTGAGAGTAGCTTTTATCTATAGGTATAAACAGATATTTAGAAGGCAATTTGATGCAATGTGGATTTAGTGTTAACAGTAGTAAGTTCCTCCCTTGGTCCTATCACCTGACCAGGCATGGATTGTTGACTAGGTTTATAGTACCAGGCATGGATTTCACACCTTTGGAGTGGGCCTCAAATCCAGTCTGGGCAGTTGGTTGCTCCCTTAACAGTCACACTACTATTGCACAGGTGGGCACATGTTACCTGGAAGGTTGATTTTGTAGTTGATAGAATTCACAGCTAGTTTAAACTTGATACCTTTTCTCCCCCAGCTGCTTGCATCGCACCTCGTAGCACTTTGAAAGTAAGTTTACTGCTCAATTCCTGCTTGCTCTCTCTGTATCTTGCAAGGTGTATGGTGTCTTAGCAATAGAGGCTTTTTTAAAAAAGACAAGGTCTCATGGCTGGTCTGGAACTTGTTACATAGACTGGAATGGCCTGGAACTCCAAAGCAACAGTGCATCCTCTAGTTCTGGTGGGCAACCAAGAGGACTGACAAGAGCCTGTATTGTTTTGAGAGCCTCTGGGACCTCCCTGACCACAATTCCTATGGAAGTATCCCACACGTAGCACTGGGAAATTTGTTTAGCAACCCTCTGCTTCTAGGAGCAGCAGCATCTAGTACACAGTATCTC